TATGTATGTATATATAGCATATTCACGAGTCTCTCGACGCGCCTGGATTCGCAGCCTAATTGAAATTTGCTCAGCAGCCGCTAAGGCAACATAAAATCTCTCCCTCATCCATATCCCTTCTAACCCCACCCCAGCCACCTTTGGTGGGCATCAAAGTTAATGAGCTGCACCGCGGCGGGCGGGGTCGAGCTTGTTGTGGCCCAAGGGCGGTTTTTTGGATTTCGTTAGGGTTCAACGAGTTTATTAAATGGATTTAATTGTGTTTTTACTTTGCGAGCAAATTGAGGTTTCGCTTCGTGTAGCGAGGTTTTTGCGTTTCGTGGCTTTGTTGCTGATTCACCAAAATCCAAAAATTTGTATTCGTGTGAGTGTGTGCGTGTCTGTGTATACATTAATCATGCAATATGGCTTAATAATTACCTGAGCATATTTCGCAAGGGTCTAATTGGATATAACAGCCAAATAAAACTTAAGCAGAGAGAAAAATCTTGGTAAATAAATGGTATGAAAAAATATAAAACACATAAATTACTTATTAAGAATGAAAAACGTATTAACATTAGTGTGATAGGGAAATATTATTTCGTATATGAAAATACATAAGAAACTTATAGAATACGTAAGTTTTAGCAAATTAAATAAATTAAAATTGATTTCTATAGAATTATTTTTAAATTAAAATGCAGAAGCTCCTTCTGTAACTTAAACAGCTGGTGCAAACCCTTATTTCGAGCATATGTCAAAAGCGGAATGTATTTATTATAGGGGCAATATATGAATATATCCCCCCTAGCTAGTGCTTATAATTGAAGCTGTTAGCACCCCAAAGTATGCTACATTATGATGTTTAACTTTCTTTTGACTGACATTGCATGACTACACATCATCATCATCATTATCATCATCGGCGTCGTGTGCAGCAGCCACACGAACATCAAAAACCGAACATAACCAGTCAACTAGCAAATTCAGCACCCCACCAAGCGGAGTCCCCAATTCTGTGTTGTTTAGCCCCAACCTGCTGTCACTTTAAATGTGATGTGCTTTGTTGCCTCTGGGATAACAAAAAACCGTAACTTCCGGCTCCATAAACTACTCCACATGCCTCCGGCTACTCGCATTCGCTCATGCACAAGCTAAATATACTTCTTTTTGTTATTATATTTTTTCACCAGGGCTGATTTCAACAGCTCTGACATTTGACGCCACTTTGGCAGGGCTGCTATGTTTTAAATTATAAAGAAAAAAATAAATAAAGAGCTACAGGGGGTTGAGTCTAACAAAGTGATGGAATGTCTCTGTGTGTGTGTGTGTGTGTGTGTGTGTGGGTGTGAATTTGTGTTTGTTGACGTTTACAGAAGCTGCTGCTGCTGCTGCTGTTGCTGGCAGCCATTCATAGACAGGCTGACATATGGCTGCGTGGTTGCTGGGTGCTGGAGGCGTGGCTGTTAGTGTGCCAGTTATGCGGACATAAATAGTTGACGGGGGCGGCCAACCTGCCATCAGTGGCACGTTAATAGTTTAGAAGTGAGTCCTTTAGCGAGTCCTTTTGACTGCCTGCCTGCTCGTCCTGTGCTGCTCACCTTGCTGCTCAATTTAACAGCAACAAAAAGGCCATCTAAATATGCAGCCAGCTTTTTTTTGTGTTTGTATTTGGTTTTGTTTTCGTTTTATATGCTTTTTGCGCCGAGTGCCAAAAATTAAGTCAAGATAGCGACAAGCGGTCCGGCAACAACAACAACAACAAAAAGCCAAAATTCAATTTCAACTTGCGCTGTGTTTGCTCAGCGTGTGTATTTATTTAGTATATTGTAGCTACACACACACTTGTGTACTTGCTGCTCCTTTTCACCTTCACCTCATTTTTTTCCTATTATTATTTTCGCCCTATTTACACAAGTTGAATGCTTGAGCTATTGCCTCCAAAACGAGTTGCTTGCGTGTATATTATTGTATTACTCTTGCTCATTTCTCATTTTCTTTCGCTTTCCGGTTTCGAGCATTACGTGCCTCCATCCACTAAGCTAAATAGGGCTCAGCTAAATTCTAAATTAACTTTCGTTTGTTATGCTATCAAATAAAAGTAAGGAGAAAATAATTTCTACGACCTGAATACTTTTAATTTAGTTAACTAAATGAGTAGAAAAGTACTCGACAATTGTTGTGTATTATTGCCGTGAGAAAAAATCTGCGCCAAATGAATTTCAGCTAATTTTCAGCTGTATGAGCCTGAATTGTATATTTTTAAAAAAATAAGGACAAATAAATACTTGTACTTAAAAAATATAATTCTCACAAATCTTAAAGGAATTAGAAATGTATTTATGTAACAAAAAATAAAACACTAGCAGGCGCAATTGGTGTAAAATACATCTTGAGTTATTTTCTAAGAATCACAAACATATTTAAATGATGTGCTTACATTTTATACAGCAATAATATAATATAATTAAACAACACCCTTATCTATCTTAAATAACACTTATAATATGTAGACAACACAAATTTCACATTATTTTCCAAAAACGACGCACAGTCTGCCTTTCACCTTGTACAGCGAGCCAAAAATCTAATATTTCGGAACTACAGTTGGCTGTTTAGTTTTTATGCAACACTAATACACACAAACACACACACACAGCACGGATAAAATCAATAGAGCCCAATACTAACATATCAAATTAGTTTATAAAGTGCTCTTAAACTACAACCTTTAGTTGCTTTTGAAAGTGCTTTCATAATGCATGGAAAATTCAATACACATATTTCCACTCGAAATATGTGCATATAGTATTAAAGCTTTAAATTTGTCATGAAAGAGATTAAAATGCATTGGGGAAATGCGTTTAATAAAATTCTTGATGCATTCTCGGAAGGAAAAGCGCCCAAGCAACTGTCGTCGGTTCAATATTACGTATACGCAACGAGTGCCTGGCATCAGCAGCCTGTCGACTGCCTGCTGGCAATATTAATTTTCCTAGCAACTTTATGATGTGTGACCAACACTTTGTGTGTGTGTGTGTATGTGTGTGTGTTTGTGTGTGTTCTCTCTTGCTATTTTCCGTTCACTTACAGCATTTATTTTTAAAATTATATATATATATATTTTTACTATTTATTTAAGCAAGTTTTTCGGAGCCAAAACCTTTTGTGTTTACACAAGTTGCAGTTGCTATAAAATAAAATACTAACAGGAAAAGCAGATTATTGCTTCCGCATGTAGAAAATTTTTACAAGAGAAACAAACTTTTCTCTACCGTTCACCCGATCGCCCCTCAGGCGATTCCTTTGATGTAAAACCACAATCATCGCTAAGCTAAGTAATTATGTCACTCTGATAAAAGTTGCTAACATAGAGTAACAGGATACCAGATTTCTTAATAAACAAAATATAAAAAAAAAAAAAAAAAAAAAAAAAAAAAAAATTTGATGCCCGCTTGGCAGGCAAAAGTGCACTTAAAGAAATCTGTTTGCCAGAGCTTAGCAGGGCACAAAGTAGTAAACCAATTATGGGCAGATCTACCTAGACTAAACACGTTTATGAAATATAAAGTATAAAGAATATAAAATATTCAAATTTATGTAAGCTGGTATGCCAGGGCAAATAAACAATATTCAAAGAGCAAGCAAATAAACTAGCTAAAACTTACATTGGGACCAATTTTCTTCTTCAATTCAATTAAAATAATGTGTCAAAACAAATAAAAGCTGAATAACATTTGCCTTGCATAAAACAAATATTCCGTGAAAATAAAAACAAAATGTTGAAGAGAGGAATATCTTTGTGATTTAATATCCATTTAAAGAGAATTCGTTTATGTACACAACTTTTCAGCACGAAGAGCTAAAGTTTAAACATTTAATTATGTTTGCCCCTATCTAAGAGCACATGCCAATTCAAACGACTGTTTTCTTGGAACTTATTTGATCACAAAGTTGCTTTGAATAAGAATTGCGGCCCCAGAAGCTATTCTAATTGGCATAAAATTCTATTGAAGTTATAAGAAAAACCGCAACGGAACAGAAGAGAATCAGAACTTAAGAACACGTTAGCTACAAGCCAATTCTTTGAAGTTGCCCGAAAAACCGCTGCAGAACCAAATCTAATATCTCATATACATTTCCTCGGCAAAACTAAACAAACTATGTGAGGACTATAAAAAAGTTTTAAAAGAACTTTTAACACACATTTTGCTTATTTGTTTGAAATTCGAGCTCGGGAATTGTATTTTCGTATAGTTGTTCGAATGGGGAAACTCATTAACGCAGATTTCTTAAGGCGGCATGTACATACATCGAGAAATAGGGGGAAAAACTCTTCAACAAACTTGGGTTAAGCAAGAAATTAGTAGGAAATAAGCAAATAAAATTAAACAACAGACTGTACAAAGTGAATAGCATAGTCCAATGCTGCTGGCTTCACTTGCAGTTTTTCGTGTGCAGTTTGTGCCAAGGTTTTTGGGATGGCCTCGAATTGAGGGGGTGGGCTTGGTGTGTTGTAAACAACAAAACTTTTTGCTTTGAGCAAAATGTTTTCTAATTTCTTACACACACAGAAACACGTACACCAACTTGAACAGAGCGAAACTCGAGTTAAGTGACATTCCGTAGAGCTGTTGGGGTTTTATTATTAATTCGTTGCGGGGCGCCTCAACACTCAGTCAGCTCATTCGACAATTTAATTATGCTCATTAGAGCCGAACTGGCTGCCTCAGATGCGTGCCACAATTTAATGCATGCCACGTTTTGCGCATAAACCGAACAATTTACGACTTTGTATAGCCACCAAGGCACGCGCGCAATTTGTCAATCGATAAATTTTGGCCATAATTAATGCGGCTTATTGGCATTTCATATACTTGACACAGTCCAATCAATACACAAGTATTTATGTATCTAACGAATTGTATCTTTTGTGTGCTGTGTGTGCTGTTTGTCTTGGCCTTCGCTTGATTTTTCTCTATGTTTATTTTATTTTTACTTTCTTGCTTTATTTGCAGTTACAAAATTTGTACGCATTGGTATTGCCGACAAGAACGACTCGCCGCCATATTTCGATAGATTTCTGTACGAGACTGAAATCGATGAAAATGCCGATTTGCAGAGCACAGTACTCACTGTCAACGCCAAGGATCACAATGAGTGTGAGTAGAATTCAATTAAATAAATAAACACAAAACATAACACGCTTAAATATATATACATATATATATATATATATACGCTTATAAATATCTCTTTAATTATTTAATGCGATTTATCATTCTCGCCTTGGCTGCGCCTTGTTTAGCTCCTCTTAAATGCCAGTTAAGCTAAGAGTAAATAAATTTCATTTCATTGCGCTTTAACAGACAAAATTTTGTTGAATAAATTAGACATTGATTTAATCAGCTTTGCTTTTAATTGTAAGTGGCGAGGCGCTGACAACTAATCTGCCATGCGAGCATATGCGAAGGGTGTGAAATAAAAATATACTTGAATGCGAAATCGTGTTAGGCGCAATCTGCTGAAAGGGAATCGTTGCGAATCTTGTTGAAGAGCTAAGCTATGCAGAGACAAAAGCATATGGCATTTAAGGAAACAGTGTTGCAAAACGATTAACTGCCTTTAACGATTTACACATTAAGCAACTGGTTATCCTAATTTTAACAGATAGGGAAAATTATGCCCATTTTACGTAGATATCAACAAAAGACACACAGCAGACCAAGCTGCCATGTGGCTGCTTTTAAAATGTTGGTAAACGATTAGCTCTTTCGCCACAAAACTAAAAGAAACACTAGTTGACAGACAGCAAAATTACCCACCATTTAGACAAAAAACAAACAAGAAACAGATTGCTTGGCTGCAATGTGGTCATTTCCTAAAAAAGTGTTGTTTATCGGGCAATAGTTTTTTTTATGTCAATCACGCAATCAGCAGTTACTTCCGGAACAAGAGCATGGCTTAACTGTGACTCTGGATAATAACTTTAAATAAAAAATGTCATGTGATTATTTATATAAGATTAAGTCACTTGAAGAATATATTTTATTTGTAGCCCAAACAAAGCTTAAACAGATGACATGCATTAAGTACAGAGAATTAGACGTAACTTTGGTTACGTTTAAACACAATAATCGTAATGTCATCTGTGGGAAAGCTTATGTGCGTAATTTTTGCAAATCATTGCGAGGCCTTCGCGCATTAACTTTTCGACTCATATCACTTTAATGCCTTGCTCCTATGACGCGTACATAAAATGAATACATATGTATGTACATAAATAAATGATGATATAAACATTACCAAAATACCAATTTGACGATTTCCTCTATATGGGGCTCTTCCTAATGCATACATATTAAAAGATGGCTTTGAATATTTTTCACATGCGAGCACGCAAAATATTTGGCGTTCGATCGTAATAAACATTTGTTTATTTTAATATGCCGCCATACCCTGCATATTCGTGTGTGAGTGTGTGTAACCATTGTGAAAATATTATTGCCCATACGCCATGTACGCCAAATATTTACCAAATATTAACAAATAAAGGCTCATTGAAGACAAAGATACACAACATGAGATACTGAACTTTCGCCCGCCATGAATAAATCCATAAAATAGAAAGACAAACATGGTAACAGACAAGGCGAATGCTTCTTTCTATTTGTGTATTGATACCCATGCGAAAACTATCATTGTAAATATTATGGCCAACAGAACTACACACATGGGGGAGGGGCGAAAGTGGGAGCAGGCAAGTGAAAAAAGATTTGCAGCATCGCAACATTCAAAATCTCATTGAGAACGTTTAACAACTTTGATAGGGGAGTAAAAACAGGAGTGAACCACAAGATACACACATTCGCACACGTAAGCACACCCTGTGGGACACACATGTCGGATTGCGAACAGGCAACAGCCCCAACGACGAGCTGTGGAGCCAAATCCTTGTCCTGCTGCCAGCTGCCTGCAGCTCCCTTCGAGCTCGTCAACGTCGCGCCATCGTGACGACTGCGAAAAAAGCATTAACCCGAATTGGAAAAAAAATTGGCAAACAAAAAATATAAGAAGACCAAGTAACATAGAAGTAGAGGGAAAAAAAATAAAACAGCAACAGCAGCCGCTACAAATTGAACTGTATGTATGTGTGTGTGAGTGGCACACAAAACAATAATACGTATACGAGCATTTGCCAAAGTTTGAGCAACAGAAGACGAGCAAAACAAGCCTTAAGTTTACGGCTAGCAGTTACCCTCTAGCCTAGATAAAAGTGTCCAAATTAGATTACCCAGAATTCAGATAAAATGAGGGTGAACCAAAGATGTGCAGCAAATTTCGATGTTTATCGCTGCAGCACCTATCGAAGAATTAACTCTATTTATATACAAGATCCAATATTTCCTAGTCAAATACTTGTTAAGTTAATCATAATCAGAAAGAAGTCTTCCTTAATATCGACAGATATAGGTCTCTATTAACCCCTTTAGCACGTTAGCATTCAGTACTGGGTATGCAATTTGTTAGCCAGCCAAATGTTGTATACATAGGGAAATCCATAACGCATATCGTAGCAAGCAGCTCTTACAAATAATATATGAATGGCCCTTATATATACATACATACATACATATAGATATAGGTGGAATTGGGGGCCATGACAATCTTTTATGTGATTTCTTTTGCCTATTTTCCTATTGCAAATGGCATGGAATGGTATGCACAAAAATGAAGCTGTAAAAACTTCGACAATTCCCTACCAACCCCACCCCCCCGCAATCCCCTTTCGGTGCCTGTGCAAATACAACATTCGAAATTTATGAGCGCAAAAATTATTTATTATTCAAGTATGTGAGACTTTGAAACTGTTTTCAACATGCTGGCAACTTGTGTTAGACAGCGTCTGTGCGCGATGAGGTCCTTAAATATTTAAACGAATGTGTTAGCAATGCCGAAAACATTTTCTTGTTTTGATATGAAAATTGCGGTAATGCATTTTAGGTATATTTCAGCTTAAATAAAGCCACATCATTTTAATATCCAGTTCAAAAGAATTTCTTTCATTTCCCTTAAAAGCATAAAAACTTTTCATCTACTATTTTGTTTTGCATGCCAAATTTTTACGAATAAATGACTTCTTATTGTGGCCTTAGATTTTTATTTAGAAAGCTTATTGGCTTAGTTTTTCTTTTTTTCTTAATTTGTAAGTTCATGCAATTCTTCTTGAAATCCCTGCAGTTTTCATAAGTTCCTCAAGTTAACCATCAAATTGTGAACTTTTTTTTTAAATTTAATTTGGTAGCCAAGGTCCTTGCCTTGAGTGCGTTAAGTAATCCTTTCTTGGCATTTTGTTGTACTTACATTGGCTAGCTGGGCCATTAAATGGCTTTCCATTATCATCTCAAGTTCTTGCCGTCATAAAGCATTTTACCGCCAAAATACAATTTAACAATAGACCGGGTCAGGATTGAAAGCGTTCTACTTAGCCGGGAGCAGCAGTCATAAAAACACTTTACCACGACCCCAGCATGGACCAAGCACTCAAACAAAGTAAGGTCAAAGAAACGGAGAATGGAACCAAGGAACAATAAGAATTTCAGAGGCACAAATATCGCGTCTATTTTCTTTTTATTATTATTATTTAACATTTTAAACTGACTTTTCATGCTAAATAAGTATGGCATAAAAACAACAATAACATGTTGTACAAGGACATGCAGACAAAGCGACAGGATGCTCAGGCACCAGCTGTGGTTGCCTGTCGCATGTGCGTGTGTGTGTGTGTGTGTGTGCGTGTGTTTTTTTTGGTCGAGTCTCGCTACGAGACAAGCTGAGCAGCATTTGCCATGGTGTCTGTGTATATTAATTTATTATCATTATCAGTGATTTTAAAATGGCGTCGTGACATCGTAAATTATAAATGGCGTTGTCTAAGACCGTGCTAAGACTGGGGACTACTTAACGCCTTGCCAAGATACAGTTGCCCCTGCTCCAGGAGGGCAGGGGTGGGGATGCTGTTCTTTTTCTTGTTGTTGTGTGTAATTTGTGGCATTAAAAAAGGGCGACATGTGCGCGCTGCTTAAAGTGTAGCATGTGCATAAATTTTATGTTCTGCCAAACAAGCGTAGAACAGTTCGTTAAAAGTTTTAATTAGATTCCATGGGTTGCTTGAGGAATACTTTTAAAACATATCGACAGAGTAAAATATATCGTGAACCAATCTGCGGCTTGAATTAAGGTTCAAAAGTATTGAAACCTATGCAAAGTTTATAAAAAGCTTTTATTGGTTTGATTGGACTACTTAAAGAATATTTTTGACTAGCTATGGAGTAAGTGGCTCGTGGCTCGACTTAAGGTTCAAGACTAAGGCATAAAGCAGTTTGTAAATGTTTTTCAATAGTTTTAGATATATTTAAAAAAAATCAACTTATCACTTAAAGAAAATGCTGAATCAGCCTAAGCATGTGCAATTGGCTTAAAAGGTTGATTCTATAAGAAATAGGAATATATCTTGAATGCCAGCTAATGCAACACATTATACGCTCTGCTCAGAAGTTATAAAATGTTTCTTATCAAGTGTTTAAAGACGTTAAGACTTTTCCTAGTCTCCATTTCAAGTGCTTATGTTAATGCCAAGCAACCCACTTGCACGCTCATATCCTGACACGCTAACAGGCTTTAATTGAGCAGAAAGCTGTAAAGTTAACACACGTCTAATGTGCTCGGCATCGGGTCGAGGTTGCCTCCCATATTCTTTTCTCTGCAACGCCGACACGTTTCTCGACTTTGGGTTAAGCGATTTACGCGTCGCTAATTTCCGCTAATGTTTGTCATTTTATATTTTTGCATAAATGAGCTGGCAACTGCTGCGTCCTCCGACGTCTTCAGCATCTTGGCACGCTCCATGGCGTGCTGTTGGTGCACATGTGTAAAGTTTTCATGTCTGCCCCGTCGGCGCGTTTTCCCACTGCTGGCAACACTTTTACGAGCTGTTTAATTATTTAATAAGTAAATTATACGCAACGTTGTACCCGCTGCCACGCCCACTTTACAAATGTTAGTCGAAAGGAGCTTAGCGAAAATGTTTTTAATGAACTTAATTAACCCGTTGCTGACTTTGACGTTCGCCAGTTCTCCAACATTGATCCTTCGTTTCTGCAGAGGAAACTTGAACCATATTCGACTCTGGTAGATATAATAGAATCGAAAATTCCTAATTATTATTAATTTACCAAGTAAATCAAACCGTAGCTGTATCGAAATCTTAATTGCTTCTAAAATATCCAAATTTAATCCGATACCTTCCAATTTAAGTTTAAATTTCAAAAAATTCCAAAATTATTTAACAGTAAATTCTCTTTTTCATATACGAAATACTGAATCATGTTTAAGGTACAAGCCATATGCAAAAGGATATTTCGCATGAAAATTGGTTCAGCTTTTACAGAAAGAGATTTTCTATGAATGCAACTGACTTTAAGCCCATTCTCTGTATGCATATGTGGGTTTCTCTGTATGTGTATGTGTTTGCCAATTCACTTAACTACTTTGCCATCTTCATTAAATTGAGAAATGAGAGCTTGATGGGCGAGTGCCAGCAGGTACGCACACACAAAATAAATTAAATTCTCTGAGAGCATAAAAGAAGTGGCCCCCCATGTTGCCTTAATTATGCACATGCCAGAAGCAATACACTGGCCCGGACTTGTATTATGTATACGCCATGTGTGGCGTGTTGAAATCTGTTTAAGTTTTAATGACATCACAAACTCCGGAGTAATTGACAATATATGGTAGACTATTTATTTAAAAAACAAATATATATGTATGTATGTATAAATATTTTCATTTTGTATTTTCTGTACTTTTGCAGCGACGAATATTCGATACCAGATCACAGGCGGTAACATAGGCAATGCCTTTGCCGTGCAGAATACGACCGGTGTCATCTACGTGGCCAGTCCGCTAGACTATGAAACGCGGCCAAGGGTAAGTAGTTCCTGTCTATATACACCTGTCACGTCACCTCCCACTCCACGCTTAACCCTTATCACACGCCCGTCTGTGACAGCAGAGCCTACTCAGAAGTCTAGTCTCAACTTTCAGTTGTTTTTTTTTTTTTGCTGCAGCATGTACTATTTTTTTTTTTTTTTTGCTCAACTTTGGTTGTGCATGCATAATTTATTTATTTTTGTTGTCTGTCACGAGACAAAAAAGCAAAAAAAAAAATATGCAAAACTATGCAAAACTTTCAACAGCGAACAACTTTGTGAGGTTCTGCGTGCTGTGACGAAAAAAAATTAATCAGAGAAAATATGCAAATACAGCTGACGTGTGTGTGGGCCAAAATTACGAGAACAGCAAAAAGCAACAAACTCAACTCGACTCAACTCGACTTGTAGATCAACAGCTGTTTTCACATTTCCCATTGCGAATTTTTAACGTGATTGCACGCACACAAGTGTTGATATGTAGAGCCCAAGACCCACCCCACTCCACCCCATAGCACAGCCCACCCCTCAACCTGCGCTGGGCGCCCGTGTAGCTGTCAATGCGTTGTCGTGCAACAAGCGGCTGAGGCGGCAACAATACCGCAAAACATATGTTGCCCTCTCAACAAAAATGTTGTTTTGTTTTCGCTTGTTTGCAAAAGTTTGACAACGATTTTCTTTTTGTTTCCTTTATTTTTTTTGTTAGTTGTGGTATTTGGCTTGCTGCCACTCGGCAATAGCTTTGAGAATATGTAGTCGAAATAGGCAAATTAATCTTTTTGTCTTGCTGCAGCTTAAATGCAGCTTATCAAAACATGCATTAAACTTTCTATGCATTTCTCTTGTTGTTCCATTTTAGTATGAGCTGCGTTTGGAGGCAACACGCAATCGTAAAAACAACTATACCACCGTTGTCATCAATGTACGCGATGTTAACGATAATCCACCTGTCTTTGATCGTCAAACATATCGCACACAAATCACTGAAGAGGATGATCGCAATTTGCCCAAACGCATTTTACAGGTGAGTAACCGGGCAAACAATACGAAGTATTTTCTTCAGGCGATATGCCTCCCACGACTTTACTTAAGCTATTAATATCGATTCCTAGGTCACACAAATCTCTCACATACATATCTCCAAGCTGAGAAAAACTGTAGCCTACTTTTATGCGTATATTCAGTAAATTAGGTTTCACATTCAAGCTAGACCCAAAGTTAAATAATAAAGATAACCTGTGTGTAAATCGGCTGCACAATCTATGCAGTAAATCTTTTTGTCCTCCTTGGGGCTTAAAACAATATTTTTATGTATTGCAGCAATATGAGAACAGCTACTTTTGCCAGTTAAGGCTGCTATCATTATTTTCGCATTCCACATTTATTATCGCCTGTTTGCTTTTACGCAATTTAAATATTGACAACTGAAACAACAACAACAGCCAAGCACAATACATGCAATTTGCATAAAAATCCAATGCTCGAAAAATTACAGGGGCGAAAAACAAGCAAACCAGAGCAGAGCACACCAGACCCGACCAGACCAGACAGGACCAGACCCCAACCACACCGAACCAACTGAAGCCTCAGATCAGGCCACTGCTCTGAGTTGCTCTGGCATGTAAAGTGCCAGGCGATTCAGCGAGCCGCACAATTCGGCCGTAAATACAAAATAAATACTCATTCATTAATAATAACGTGATAGTTGGCCGAATGGTCTTACATGAAATATACATATACATATATATATGGGCATATGTATATGTATGCAGATGCATGTGCGTGTGCCAAGTGTGTAAGTCTGTGGCAGCGACTTTTATTTAAGCCATAATTTACAACAATCAACAACATGAGAAAGAGAAATAACAATCTGTCCGCATGGAAAAAGGTTAAATGCTCTATTTTTAACTTTTTAAAGCTCAACACGAATAAACGAATGAATGAGGCTTAAATAAGCAAACGGCCTGTCCGTAAATGCATGTAAAGCGGGAATAAAGAAATTAAACTAAGCTAAAGAATTAAGTGCGTATACAATAAAACCCAGCCAATTTGAAAAAGTTATCAAAAATATTTGTAAGACAATCACGAATAGTCAATTAAAAAATTTCATAAAATATCTTAAAGATTTATATGGCTCTTAATGGCCCATCAATTTTGCTTTGCATATTTGCAACAGGCACTAAATCCAATTGTTGAATAGTATTAATTATTGAAATAAATCAAGCAAAGAACAATTATATACGAGAAGACTAATAGAAATTGCACTTTACGCAATCTAACCAGATACATCAAATAAAATACAAATAAATATCAAATAGTTACAGTAATTTGGTAAATGGAAGCTAGATAACTTGGATAATGATAATAAATTGAGTAAAAGTTGAAAACGTTCATTCATTTTATTGCCTTCTTATGTGCATTTTATTTTGAGACAATCAATAAATTTTCGTGCTCAATCTACAAGTTTTTTTATGACTCAGCAAATCCCCTACAAGATTCTCATTTGCACAAAGTCTCGCATCTATTGTATTACCCTTTTAAAGGCTTTTAGCAAGCTAACAAAAATTTCTGCAATATTCATAAATGTTTATCAATATTAATTATGATATCATTATAAGCAAAAAAAAGTTGCATTCTATAAAGTTCCAGATTTTACCTCAAAAAAGGGCCGTTTCTTAACAATTTTCAAATAAATACACACAAAATAAATTTCTACGCAGCATAGCCTGTACAAATACTAGTAAAAACTATTCATGGTTAACTATATGCTACTGAACGTCAAAAGTATAGCAGTAAAAACAAGGCTAGCTCTTAAGATATTCATCATAATCATTCATAATCATGTTGACTCTTAAGTGCCAAAAAGGGTATTCAAAATGCGTTCATTCGCTAATTGTTCTTGTTGTAAGCTATAAATTAAAAATCCACGGCCCGACGGCGACTGTAATGGCGTCAACACCAACAACACCAGCAAAAACACCAACAAAAACAACGTCAACAGCGACAACAACAATGCCAACAACAACAGCAACAACAATGGCCACGCACATTTTTAATTACACATTTATGCTCAAGTAAAAAATTGAAGTGGCGCCAAGTAGATCCGTTGGTCATTGAATGCCCGCGATAATCGACATCGAAAATATATGTGAACGTGTATATATATATACATATATATATAGATAGATATACTTTATATAATGTGCACATATAGACAAAAGCGAGCTAAAGGCGTTGTCTGCTGTCTTCGACACCTTTTGGACAAATTGATTTTTGTGGGTGGCCCGCGAAATGAAATGCAAATATTTTTTTTGCCTTTGCACGCGAGTCATTTGCCGCTGCCACGCCTCCAATGGGGCTTTAAATTATGCATGCCAATGCTGAGGACTTGAATGCATTGACAGTGTATGTGTGTGTGTCCTGTTGTAAGGACAATGGCATGCAGGGCTCGCTGCGCGTCACGCGAGCTATAATAATGGCACGTAGACAACCCTTTTGTCATATCAAATTGTGCGGAACATTTAACATAAATTGTCGCATTGTCAAGCAGGAAATGGGCGTGGCTGCTAGCATATTGCACACGTGGCAGCAAGCGCTGTTTTTTTTTTTTTTTTGCCCGCGCCTCATCAGGCTCCATTAAGCGCCTACTCCCCCACAAAAATGGCAATAGAATATGAAGATATTCATATGCAGAGCCATTGTTTGGCCTAAATGGTTTTCCTTTGCATTGGTTGGTTGTTAACAAATTTACAATTGGCAGCTGTAGCTGCAGCACCAGGATTATAATTGCTCTAATTGGCTTACCAAGTGTTTGAGAGCTGGCAAATCTTTCAATACAAGTGTGGTCTGATAGTCACAAGGACTTGCCTGCTGCTCAGAGAGAAAACGGGAGAGGGCCAGAGCTAAAACAATAGCTGTGACAGATTAAGCTTCAATATTTATCTCAACCAGAAGTACAATGGGCATACTTTATTTGCATTTCCAGACAAGTGTAAATGTAACTTAGAGTTTGTATTTATGCATTAATGCAATCAGGCGGACTATGCAACTAGGCATGGCTAGACAATGCAGTGAAGATTACAACAACACGCAGGCTAGTATAATAGCTTAGTTGCATGCCAAGACAATGCCATAATTTTAGTTCCAAATGCGAATTTATATTCAAATTATTTATTTAATTGTATATATTTCGGCATTATAGGCGCATAGATAAACAATTTACAAAGCGCGTAAAATTAATATTGTTGCTAACAGCTTACAGATGCTTATCTGAATAATAACTACATAAAATTACTAAACTAAATCAACTTATGTGTTGGAACTCTACTTAATATTTCCATTAGTTAATAGTGAAGTTAAAAAGATGCCGTTGTCTTCTGGTCCACAAAAATAGAAAATCCATCATTTATCAATTTCTTTTGATATTTTGGCTCTCTTTAAGTCTGTCAACTCTCTGTCTGCTTTATCTCGTATTCTTTAATTTTATATTTTTAGTTTTGTCTCTCAAAGGAATGTCGAACAATTAAGTGTGATTTTCCTACGAGTTGACCTACCTATAAATTATTTGTCTAACAACTCACAGATGCTTATCTTAGCAATAGCTATATAAGAATACCAAAAAAATTTGTAAGCATGCAGTTTATAAGTATATGAAAATAAGTATAATAATGAGCAGTAAAATATTCCAGGCGCACACAACAAAATAGTCCTAAACACAGATTTCATTTAGTAACCGCAACAGGGTTGGTCAAAAAAAGAAATAACAGGGCAAAAATACAAAATAGAAAATCAACAAAAATACGTAAAGCCGATTGAATAATTACATAAATCTCGGTAATATTAGCATTTTTCACTCTGACACAAACTGACAATATTTTGTAGCCAAAGAAATGGAATATAAAATACAAAAAAAAATAGAAAACCAATACGAAGTCGAAGCATAAATTTACAAGCAATCTGGGCATCCAGAAAAACCACAAGCTGGCACGCCCCTTACAGTTTCCGCTCCACCGCCCCTTGGCAAGATTGTAAGCCCCATGCGAATAAGTAAGCGCGAGTTTTCCCTTTGCTTGCTCTTTATTGGACATTTAAAGGTTTTTTGCACATTTGCATATTTGATTTATAGACTGAATATTGTAAGTAAGGTCCAGAATGGACCACCAACGGCTTAAAGGTATACCCCCGGCCCCCGCTGCCAGCAGCTCATTGTAATGCAGTTTTTTTTTTATACCAGTATACCTCACACAATCTCCCTCTCTCTTTTTCTTTCTATTTCTCTCACAGGTTACGGCTACCGATGGCGATGTAGATAGACCAATAAATATTGTATATTTCCTTACCGGCCAGGGCATCGACCCGGATAATACGGCAAATAGTAAATTTGATATAAATCGAACAACGGGCGATATTTTTGTACTCAAGGTAAGTGGCACTCACAATGTTTAAGCTGATTTTCCAGTAACCATGCCCATCGACTCCATAAAACTCAACCGTAATGAATGCCTGTAAAAATCCCCAACGGACGATGAAAGCTACCACAAAGCCAGCCCCTCAGACAAACCCCCTCATCGCTTCCTTCCCTCGCAGTGCTAAGCGTGCAAATGGCGCGCCATAACTTTTGTTTTTCCACCTGCAGTGGCTATGATTGCCAGGTGGGTAACGGGCCAGTAGGTGGGTGGGGGTATGGGAGACAGCTGTTGGCAGTTTACAATTGGGCCAACAGTTTATATACACAATGCGCAGTTTATATTGTGTGTGACGAGCTAACTGTTCATAATATAAAAAAAAATACAAAGCACCAGTTCAGTGTGATGAAGTACACTGTAAAAACATTGTATACAAAAAAATAAACAAGTTAATTCAAAGAAAATACGTCCACTACATTAGTTTAAAATATTTAGTAATATACGGATATATCAGTCCTCGCTAGATAAGTTTTCTAGTTTTCGTAATTGAGTCCCAGGCTTACCATAAAAAAAAATTCAAAAAATGTGAAAAACACTTACTAAGTTTAATGAAGTACACTTTAAAAAACGTTCTATATGAAAATGTAGTAAATTCAACATAAATGCAGCTTACAACATTTATTTAGAGATATGAAGTATATCAGAAAGCGCAATCACCAGTAAATTCGCCTAAGATAAAATCAGCACAAAATACATAAATAATTTTAAATTAAATTTGGTTTATTTTGCGCGAAATCGATCAGTGCCTTCTGAGCTCTACCATGCGAAAGACTCTGAAAGAAGAGTGTAGTTAGAAAGAAGAGATATATAAGAGTAAATAGTTTATTATTTTATTATTTTAGCTCTCTCTTAGATAAGTCTTCCAAGTTACAATGGCTAAGATATTTTAATTTAAATTTCAACACAAAATTTGATATTTGAAAAACAAAATTTAAAATCTGAAAAACAAGAAGAGAACAAAAACTACATGAACATTTGGCTCTAAAAAAACATTGCAGTAGGTTGCATTTTCAGAGATCAATTCTTAAATTCACCGCAGTGCAATCGACCGACTGCCTGCACAAAATAAATGATTAAACAAGCATATTGACTTTGTACACACTACAAAATTTGACAGCTGATGCAGCTTTTAAATATTTTCATACACAGGCAAACATCTGCGTCACACGCACACACACACACGTAAAACAAATACAACATTTTGGTAGTCGCTCGAAATATATTCAATACTTAAAATAGTTGGCTGGGTTTGATTGTTAACAACGGTCGCCTGTGAATTGTAAAGCTTTCGACGCAGCTCGGTGGCGTATGATTAATTTAAAACTGTGTCAAACCGCACAATCTCACGCACACACACAAACACACACACACACACACACACACACACACACAGTCGCACACACCAAAAAAAAAAGTGACATTTGTGACTATAAAAACTGCAACCGTTTGATGCCAACTACATGAACTCCAATTAATTTCAGACAAAGTCCATAAAAACAACCAGTCAAATGGCAGTGCCAACGAGCAGCATGGCCCAACCAAGCACCCCTACACCCACCCCTCACTGAGCCCGCCCATTTGCTGCATCAAATGTTCAAATGTTGCTGCTGCTGTTGCTGGCGGCATGCTTTATTTGTTTTATTGTTTTAGGAGCTGAGTGTGAGTGTGTGTATGTTTGCGGGTGGCGAGTAGATTGGTGGTGTGGAGCTAAAGGGTTTTTGGAACGTTTGGTTGGCAGCGACAGCATGTGGCATTTGTGGTTTTGACGCTCTACAAGCAACCACATGTAAATGACATTCGTCGTTCGTTATTGGTGCGTGGTTGCCTCGCATAAAATTGTGTTTTAAATTGTGGGTGGGTGCCGTTTGGAATGGGTCGGGGCTGTATCGTTGAGTTTAGCGAACACCATTCGACAGCTGCAACGCGGTATTTAATTTGTAATTGCTATTGCAATGCGTGTCACATGCCACTGAAAATGTGAAATGTTTTTCGCTAGCTTTAATTGAGCGAATGCCATTTACGGGAATTTAAATTCTTTATTCGTACATTTGATTTCATTTTAGAGAGCCATCGACAGACAAATAAAATACGTAAATGCGCTTATAACACTTCAGTTAACAGCGTGCTTTAACATTTGTTAGGCTCTTTCTTTCAATTCAAGCTCACGTGCGCAACAGACACGCATTTGGCAAGCTTAAAGCGCAGCACAGGGCACTAATTCAAATCTCTGTAAGCTCTTCTGGCACACGTGCACTAATACATTCCCAAAAATTACCTATACGCATGCCCAAAATTACAGTACGGGCATTTGTTTGGAGCATATAGTATAAAAATGATATAAGCAATAGTTCTCTTAAAGCATATCTATCGCTTTCTTGAATATTTGTTTGGATAAAGTGTTTCGCCAGGAAGATAGGAAATCGTGTTGCCCGAGTGATAAGAAAGTGTGGTCTTGGTAGATCCATTTGTATTAGTAACAAAAAAGCTTAATATGACCCACTCATTAAAGAGAAATTCGATTTTAATTTGCATTCGAAACCACAATCCATGGCAAAATGTAATTGAAACGAGCCCAAATCCACCTGGCCAAAGCGAATTGCAATTGAGACGAGTAAGCAATATTTAAGTATAATTCAAATAGAATCACAGCCCGAAAATACACAGCAAAAGCTGGTACAATATCTATTGAAATTGAGCACATTTCATTTGATTTGATGGCTTTTATTTAGCCCTCTCGCCAGGCCAAATGACTGCCGTTCGCTAGGGGGAGGGAGATATTGAGGCGATTTCTTGGGGATAACTCATTTAATGAGAGAAATCTAGTATGAGCCGGGGCAAATACATTGAGCTCTGGCTAAAGACAACCGCAAAGATGTACACAATACAACAACAACGCACACACACACACACACACAGACGAGCACACGCACAGCAGAGGGCAGGCGAGTCGGTGGAGTTGCCAAGGACCTGTAGCTGACAATGAGACTTGTCAGTTATGGGCCCCGGCGGCGGGGTTGTCTCAGCTGCAGCTTTCTGCCGTTGGCATAAAATAATTTGCAAACAAACAAGCCAAACAGCTGGCAAATCAAACGATACTCAGTTCAGTTTATGTTCTATCTATATTTGACACAGCCCCTGGACCGGGATCAGCCCAATGGGCGGCCCCAATGGCGTTTCACCGTGTTTGCGCAGGATGAGGGCGGCGAGGGTCTGGTCGGCTATGCGGACATCCAAGTTAATCTGAAGGACATCAATGACAATGCGCCGCAGTTTCCGCAGGGCATCTATTTTGGCAATGTCACCGAGAATGGCACCGCCGGCAGCCCAGTGATGACAATGTCTGCCATTGACTATGACGATCCCAACGAGAGCACCAATGCCAAGCTAATCTACTCAATTGAGAAGAATGTCATCGAGGAGGAAACGGGCGCGCCCATATTTGAAATTGAGCCCGAAACGGGCCTCATCAAGACCGCCGTCTGTTGTCTCGACCGTGAACGCACACCGGACTATTCCATTCAGGTGGTGGCCATGGACGGTGGCGGTCTGAAGGGTGAGTATGCTATGGAACAAGGCGACTGCCATTGATATAGCTCAACTCTGGCTAGACTCTGTTCGTACAGTCTTAAGGGAGTATACTGCTTTTGAGCTATGCTTATATGTCTGTCTATTTGCCCGAGAAGGCTTTCAACATTCCACATATACTATAACTCTGCCCCAAACGGTTTTTTTTGTAAACTAAATTATTTATATAAAATATTGAGTTAGGTTCGGATTTCGCTTAAAGTTTTAAGTTTCTGCTGATATTAAAAATGAAATTTTTTCCGGCTTCGGTTGACAGCTCTTAAAATCTGTCTTCAACCTGCCTTAAGCTGTTTCCACACTGTAAACAGAGTATTGCGCAGTCGTTGCTAACAACCTCCCTTAAGCTGTTTCCACACTGTTAACAGAGTATTGCACAGTCGTTAACACTCAATCATTTCGCTCGTCCCGTTGCACAGGCACTGGCACCGCCTCCATTCGTGTCAAGGATCTAAACGATATGCCGCCACAGTTTACGAAGGATGAGTGGTTCACGGAGGTGGACGAAACGAACGGCACCCATATACCCGAAACGCCCATTTTGACAGTCACCGTGCAGGACGAGGATGAGACGAACAGCTTCCAATATAAGGTGGTGCCCAATAGTGGCTTTGGTGCAGACAAATTCGCGATGGTACGGAATGCGGATGGGACTGGCTCACTGAAGATTATACAGCCGCTGGACTATGAAGATCCGTTGCAGAGCAGCGGCTTTCGCTTTCGCATACAGGTGAACGATAAGGGCGAGGATGGCGCCGACAAATATCACGTGGCCTATTCCTGGGTGGTCGTCAAGCTACGCGACATCAATGACAATGTGCCGCGATTTGAGCGCGATCACATCGAGGTCTCCATCTATGAGGACACCAAAGTGGGCACCATACTCGAACAGTTCCGGGCCAGCGATGCGGACCAGGGCGGCCACTCACGCGTCAGCTACAAGATCGTGCGCGCCAGCAATCGCCGGCGACAGTTCGCCATTAGCGAGAAGGGCGCCGTCAGCATACAGAGGCCGCTCGATCGCGAGACAGCGGATCGTCATCATATCCAGGTGCTGGCCAGCGATGATGGCAATCCCTCGCGCACGGCAACAGCCACGCTGACGGTGATTGTCAAGGATGTGAATGATAATGCGCCAACGCTGGCACAGGACTACAGGCCAACGCTGCCGGAGAATGTGTCGCCGCGCAAGATCATCGAGGTGGCTGCCAAGGATGCGGATGATCGACAGCGCGGCAATGGTGGTCCCTTCAGTTTTCGGCTGGATCCGTTGGCCAGCGATGAGATACGCGCCGGCTTTAAAGTGGAATACGATCGCAGTAAGTGCTTACACATTTCCTTTCATATAATCATATGTTCATTTGTAAGGTTTTCGTTTAAAATTAACTAAAAGTTCAGTTTACAAATTAAAACGAAAGAAACCAATGCTTACACAATATTTGCAAGCAAAGTCTGAACTTAAGTAACTTCTTGACTATACAGAATGCAAGTTCAACTTTCAAGCTCTGAAGCACATAGAAAAACCCTTATTTAACCAAAAGTCAATTTGCCTTTATAATCAATCCCAATTCTTTGCTGTAAGGCAGGGACTGGCTTGGAACTAATCTATGAAAGTGCAACAGCTCAAACTATCGAAAGGCAACTGGCAACAAGCAGTTGCAACCATTTGTAGCAAGCACTTGAGCTGCGCTCCGTTCAGTTGAGTTGAGTTGAGTTGAGTTAACTCCATTCACAATCAAAATCAAACGCTAAACCAAAGTGTGTTTGCATAGTAATGGTGATTGAATTATGCCACAGACAATCAGCATCATCAGCATTGTTTGTGCCCAGAATTAGTTACCCAAAAGCCAAAGAGCCAGTAAAAAAACAAGCTGGAACGCAATAGACGATAGTGGGAAGAATAGGAAGTGAGTACCCTGTAAACAGAAGTGGGTTGAAAGATGAAAGAAGAAGTAGGTTCAGCGAAAGTCTTCTTGCTTACGAAATATTCAAGCACAATGAAATGCATAAAATATATAAATTTATAACAAAATCGAAGCATTCACTTTAGCAATTCGGCGGAATTTATTTATGTTAAAAATTAATGCATATAAAATTTGTTACTGCTAGCTCTGATAGTGTCTGTGATCAAATTGAACAGATAGATCCATGACAAGATCCATGAATATCTAAAAATTGTATAAATACCAAATGATAAGGACAAATTCAAGTTAATTTTAGCCAGTTACATGCCCAACTTGAATATACCCCACTTGTACTGTTTATAGGGTATTTAAATTGGGAGATGTCCGAGCCTCCGGGCCAGTTTCTGGTGCAGACAGACGAATGGTTGAATTGCCTTTGGTTTCCATTGCGATTTCATTTGTTTTCTCTTGGGCGAATTTCGAATTGGTCTTCACTTTTGTAGCCATTCCTGGTAGTTTATTCGGCTCGGTAAAAAAAAAACATTAAAAAAAAATCAAAGAACCTAGAAACAAAATGAATACTCAAAAAAAAAAAAAAAAAGAATAAAATCTGACTATTGAGAGAAGTAAAGAAATTTGAGGTGTCAGTTGAATGCGAACCTGATGTTGACAAGTCGTACGTTTCGAATTTTCGGTTTTGGGCCATTTGCCCTCGGCCGCACTTTGACTGCGTGTTTCACTTACAGAAGACAGTTTTTTACGTGGTGGCTAACGAAAGCGTTTTTCTTTGAATCTTAATTTTATTCATCCGTTGTTGCTTTTGTTTCTTGTTCCTTTTTATGGGTCGACGCGTGCTTGGATTTCAAGCGTTCGGGACGGAATATATAATTGATTCGCCAAGCCGATTAAATTCATTGCCACAAACAAATAAATTCCAAAGAATTGTAATGGAATCATTGCGGCTATGCCAAAACGATATTAATTTGCATGCCTAATTAACTAAATGGGTTGTGTAATTAGTATAAAAACAGGCAAACAGCAGGTAGCATCTATCATTAAGCCCATAAATTGTTAATCAAGCTAATGCATTTTATATCATAATTCGAAAATGTGTTTCGATAAAATGCATCCGAAATGTGTTCAGCCCAGTTTCCAACAATATGTGCCATTAATTATGCTCAAATACAAGAACATAAAATAGGCAGGCATAAACCAAATATTGCACATTTTGCTAAATGTATTTGTGTTTTAATGCCCATATTGATTGCATTCACATATTGATTGCCGCATGAAAATTGGATAAACAAAACTAAAATATCATCAACATTGCAACAAATGTAGAAACATAATTTACAATTCAGCAGTGTTTTTATTTTATTTTATGGAAATGCATCTTTTCGCGTTATATTATACAAATAAATTGTAAATTTAATGTACATTTTTTGCATTTTTTAAACTAAAAATGCCAGAAAAGAAAAACTGTTTGGCAAATATTCGAGTTAATCAAAGTATTTACAGTGATTCATGAGCTATTTCAAGTTAATTTATAAATATTTTAATTTACACAAATTCCATTCAAGCGAACATTTGGCTCAAGTATATTTACGATGATTTTTGTTTAATTCCTGCAATAAAGTAGCTTATATTTTCGGGCTTTTTAGAACAATTATTATTTAGATTTTAAATAATATGTTCAAAAAGAAAACTGGTTCCTAACAGTCTCGAATTGAAAATATCTTAAAATTTAAATTTCATTTGCCGGCTTTTAAAGCTTAAACCCAGTCTCAAATTTCCCTTGCTCAGAAAACATTTTTCTCTGCTCTTCTTCGTTCCATGCCTTCATGTGCCCAACCGTCATCAACATCATCAACAACAATAACAACAACAAAAACAAATGGACATCAAATGAAATTCATTTGAATGCTTGGTCTACAATCGACTAAAATTTCAACACAAAACCCATCGTCTTGACGCACACAATCAGGGGGCGACAATGGCAATGGGGTGGCCATCATCTCGTCGCTGCGTCCCTTCGACCGCGAGGTGCAGAAATCCTATGACATACCCATCGAGATAAAGGACAACGGAGCGCCGGCAATGACGGGCACCAGCACTTTGACTGTGACCATTGGCGATGTGAACGACAACAAAATGCAGCCGGGCAGCAAATCGGTCCTGGTCTACAACTACCAGGGACAGTCGCATGACACGCCCATCGGACGGGTGTACGTCAACGATCCCGACGACTGGGATGTGCCCGACAAGAAGTACTATTGGGAGGCGCAGGAGCATCAGCGCTTCAAGCTCGACACGGACACGGGCATATTGACCATGCGGGCGGGCACGCGACGTGGTCGCTACCAACTGCGCTTTAAGGTAAGCACTGCAAATAATATTAGCCTAATTATCGCCGTTTTATCGCATAGCTATGGCAAATTTATCACTTTTTATTTATTTTAATTTTAATTTTTACCTATTGAGTATATATTCCGTAGTTATCTGATCTTTAAGGTATATCCCATCTTTCTCTATCGCATATCTAATGCTTATATATCTCCCACCCATCACCTCCTTATCACCTATCTATCGCCCTTCTATCTCCTATCAATCTTCCATATTTCAACCATCTATCACTATTCTTTTAGCCATTAGTCTATTTATCACCTATGTATATATATCTCCCCTTATTATTGCAGGTGTACGATCGCGAGCATGGTCAGGAGGATATACCAGCAAATTTGAGCGTTACGGTTAGGGATATCACAGCGGAGGCAGTGCAGCAGGCGGGCTCCATGCGATTGGCACACATAACCGACGAGGACTTTGTGCGCACCTGGAATCCGCTGAAGCAACAGGTGGAGCCATCGAAGCTGGAACGCTTTCGCAACAAGCTGGCCGAGCTGCTCTACACGGATCGCGACAATGTCGACGTATTCAGCGTGCAGCTGCGCTCGCAGTCTCCACATCCGCTGACCGATGTGCACTTTGCCGCCAGATCTGCCACACAGCAGCCGTACTTTAAGGCGGTCCGTCTCAACGGAGTCGTGCAGATGCATCGCGAGGAGATCGAGCAGGAGGTGGGCCTCAATATAACCATGGTGCACATTGACGAGTGCTTGCACGAGGGTCGCGGCAAATGTCCGAGTGGCTCCTGCAGCTCCCGCACCGAGCTGGGCAAACGGCCGTACACGGTCAGCGTGAATCGCACAGCCCTGGTCGGTGTACGGCTGGAGTTGAGTGCACAGTGCGTGTGCCGTGCCCGAAACTTCACCGGCCAGGATCACAATTGTCGCTCGCATCATTGCTTCAATGGCGGACGCTGCGTGGAGACACGCAATGGTCCGCGCTGCGTAGCCTGCCCCGTCGGCTATGGCGGTCCGCGTTGCCAGCAGTCGACGCGCAGCTTTCGCGGCAATGGCTGGGCCTGGTATCCACCTTTGCAGCTGTGCGGCGAGTCGCATTTGAGCCTCGAGTTCATAACACGTGAGCCGGATGGCCTCATACTCTACAATGGGCCCATTGTGCCGCCCAAGCAGGCGGAGCCCGTAATCAGTGACTTCATAGCCATTGAACTGGAACAGGGCTATCCACGACTGCTGATTGACTTTGGGTCTGGCACGCTCGAGCTGCGCGTTAAGACCAAAAAAACGCTGGACGACGGCATCTGGCATCGTCTGGACATCTTTTGGGATGCGGAAAATGTGCGCATGGTGGTCGACTTTTGTCGCACAGCTCTGATCTCCGAGCTGGAGGATGGTAGCGCGCCCGAGTTCGATGACAATGCGTGCCAGGCACGCGGACAAATACCACCATTTGCGGAGACATTGAATCTGAATCAGCCACTGCAGCTGGGCGGCCTGTACAGGCAGCATTTCGATCAGACGCTCTACAATTGGCAGTATGCGTTTAGCTCGAAGGGATTTGATGGCTGCATACGCAACGTGATCCACAATTCGGAGCACTATGATCTCGCCTTTCCGGCATTGGCACGCAACAGTTTTCCCGCTTGCCCGCAAACGGACGAGGTTTGCCTCAAGACAGAGCACACGGCTCGCTGCTGGGAGCATGGCAATTGTGTGGCCAGCCTGGTGCAGGCCAAATGCCACTGCCAGCCCGGCTGGATGGGACCTGGCTGTAATGTGCCCACCGTGCCGACCACCTTCAAGCCGCAGAGCTATGTCAAGTTTGCGCTCAGCTTCGAGCCGGATCGCTTTAGCACACAGCTACAGCTGAGATTTCGCACTCGCGAACTGGCCGGCGAGCTGTTCCGTGTCAGCGATCAGCATCAGCGCGAATATGCCATACTGGAGCTGCGCCGTGGCCAACTGCAGTTTCGCTACAACCTCAACTCGCTGCGAAATGAGGAACAGCTATTGGCACTAACTGCGATTGCCGTGAACGATGGCCAGTGGCATGTGGTGCGCATCAGTCGGTATGGTTCGGCGGCGCTCATGGAGCTGGATGGCGGCGAGTCTCGGCGCTACAATGAGTCATTTCACTATCAGGGCCATCAGTGGCTCAGCCTTGACAAGCAGGAGGGCGTCTATGCGGGCGGCAAGGCGGAGTATACGGGCGTCAAAACGTTTGAGGTGCAGTCGGACTTTCAAAGAAGCTGCCTCGACGATATCAGGTAACAATCAGTGGCAGCTGCTGCTGCTAGCTGCCAGCTTAGCACATGCAAAACTGTTTGCTAATTATGCGCATTTCCATTTCTTTTTGGTTGCATGTTCCACACAAAAGACTCGATGGCAAACATCTGCCATTGCCACCGGCCATGAACGGCACACAGTGGGGCCAGGCGACAATGGCGCGTAATGTGGAACGTAACTGCCCCTCGAATCGGCCCTGCTCGAATGTTATCTGCCCGGATCCCTTTGATTGTGTTGATTTGTGGAATGAATACGAGTGCACGTAAGTACAGAGGAACACACCCGATTCTGCCCCCAGCTCACATTAAGCCCCAACTGGCCACAACCATAAAGTGTGTGCGCCCGACATTTGTTGGTTTTAACTACACATTTTGTGTGTGCCTTCAAAAACTAGCTGCCTGGCTTGGCCAAATGTTCTGTACTTTAACTACACTAATTGCTCAGTCCAGTTACGTCTTTTTGGCAGCTCTCAACGCACACAATCACAGCATGAGCTCTATTTTCTTTGATCAACAAATGTTGCACATATCTTTGCTCTTAATTGGCAGGTGATATCAACCTACTGTATAGTTGAGACGTCAACGTGCAGGTTTCTCTTGCCTCTTTAACTAGTTTTCCATGCCTCTGCTTGAGAATTCTTACGTTTTACAAGCACCAGAACGATTTTAATTAACCCGTTCAATAGCCATGTACAATTTTAACATTAAACGTAAAGGAGAACTGAAATTCATAAAGAAATTAAACACAACTCAACTTCATAGCAAATTTATGTTCGCGGTACTTAACCGATTAACACGTCCGCGCACTTCAACGTGGAGATCAGCAGCTTGTTTTCGGCTTAGTCCTTACACTAGCCTGGGTTTCAAGCCCGGATTGCAAATATCGTATTAATGTCAACTCTTTTATATCAAAATTCCCAATGCAGCAAGCTGCCTAAGCGAGGCATTACTTTTGATTGCTCCCTGAGCTACATACAGCCCAGTAAAAGGGAAACTCAGCCAAGCGCAATGTGAGACACATCATTTCTCCATTAACTGCACCCAGCCACAACCTGTAAGCAGGTACACCTGCAGCATGATGGCTGGGCAAACATATCGAAAGGCAAACGCACAACAAATAATATCAATTGTCATCAGCATGTTCTGACACAAATTTACCCCCAAGCCCTGTCCAGATGGAATGGCAGCCAACGACACCGCGGAATATATATTGTTGCATATATATACATACATATCTATATATGTGCGTGTGCTTGGATGTGAAAATGTATTTGCATGCGCGCAGATGACTTTCGATGGGGCTTCTGCTCTGTGCCTTTCCACAGCAGCTACTGGCAGCTGCCATTTGCAACACCTACTCCGGACGGAGAAGCGAGCACATTTTCCACATCATTAGTTTTGCCGAGTGACTCCATTTGAGACACACTGAGAACAAACAGACGCCAGACGCCGCCCAACCTCCAGGCCCAGGCCCAGGCCCAGACCCAGACTCAGACTCAACGCCTGGTCGCTGGCTCCCTATCTATGCAGCGCTGCATCATGATTTTTTCCCCGACACCTTCCACCCGACCGCCAGCCAGCCTGCCCGCCCTCCAGGCAACTATCCCCAGCAGCCTCGTGCTCCATTTACTCTTGCCATTATATGAACGGGGTGTGAGGGTTGGCGCAGGGATAAGGGGGAGACAGCGACTGCTGTGAAAGCTGCTTTGCTCCCATTTGTAAGACGAATTGAAGAGTTGGCTCTTTAAGTAAATTTAAATAACACTCACCGAGCCGGGCCTTATGCACCAGCACCTACCTGTCCAGGTGGCCGGCGTTGTGCCATAAATTATGCCTGCTTTTTAGCCTCAATTCGAATTTCATTGTGCATTCGCTGCTGGCATCGTGTCAGCTGCTGAAATAATGTTGGGATTCCCAGCTCGAACACTCACTTTGTTATACTTTGAATCGACCCAAATTGCGGGTGTGCGCGTGTATAAAAAGCAAAAGCAATATTAAATATTAAAACGTTGAGATATTTAAAATATTTAACTACGTTTAAGCTGACCGGCTTGAGGTCTATGTTGGTTTTATAAATATATTGTCTGCATGAAATCGCTACAAGACCTTCCGGCTCAATAGTCAGTAGTCATTGCTACCGACTTTAGATTGACAAGTCCTTGTCCTAAAGCTATAACTACCTGAGAATTATAAGCAAAGCAAAGGCGCTAAGCCCTCAAACATTAAGCAGTCTGAACTCTGAACAGCTACAGAGAGCTACAGGAACGCGCAGGAGAAATTAGCAAAGAGAAGGAACAGGTGGAATACGCAAAGGTAGTGCAAGAGTGGAATGAAAGTGTGCAAAAGGAAAGAAGAAAAATAAAGAAAAGTAACTTGGGGAATGGACTTAACAAGTGAAATGGAAGAGTGGATTGAGGCAGCCGAATGTGACAGCTGAAAAGGGTGGATAAATGAGTAATAATACAATAAAAGAAAACAGGCTAGTTACAACAAGAAACAAAACAATTAATTTTAAATTTAATTCAAAAGCGAAAGCGTACAATTTGACGAAATATTGTGAGTGAGTTGAGCGAGCACTCTTAGTGCGACTTTATAACTGAAAAGACAAAATATATATTTTTCAAATAATATTTCCAAAAACTACAGCTAATTGTAGCTGTCAGCTTTAAGATTTGCGAATGCTTTAATGTTTTAACATTAGCTCGTGAACCGTCTGATTACCCTGAGAAACTATAAACTAATCCCTCAGAGTGCCAGCTAGCCCTATCCCAAACGGAACTAACACGCTTAATGCGCTGCAAAGCTGCACACAAAAGACACAAACCGTGGTGCGTGCATCGGGGACTAGACCAGCAGCCCACTCTCAACCCCTCCAGCCCCCTGCGCCCTACCACCCCGCGCTGGGAACCACCCGCCACTAGTCACCCGCAGCGGCCAAACAACTGACCAATTTTTTTTTTTTCAGTTTTGGTTTTGAAATAAAAAGTTGGGCGCTTTTAAAAAGTTATGCACAACATGAATTTAACAAGCGCCACTCTGAAACTCAACTCTGCCCCACGCTTTTCCGCTCTCTCTCTCTCTGTCTCTGTCTCTGTCTAACCATTTCGCTCTGTCATTACAGCTGCAGCGAGGGACGCATCATGTCAGCGGATACCAAGGGCTGTGTCGATCGCAACGAATGCCTGGACATGCCCTGCCTCAACGGGGGCACGTGCATCAATTTGGAGCCACGTCTGCGATATCGCTGCATTTGCCCCGAGGGCTATTGGGGCGAGAACTGTGAACTGGTGCAGGAGGGACAGCGTCTAAAGCTTAGCATGGGCGCCTTGGGCGCCATATTCGTTTGCCTGATTATCATATTGAGTAAGTACTGTAACGACAAGAGCTCGAATAGCCCTGGCAGTTGCCAGTTCGCAGTTGGCAGTTGGCAGTTGGCAGGAGCGCCCGTTTGGTCTCCTCGCTAAGCTGCTGCAATTTGGCATGCATGTGTGTCAGTTTAAGCGGCTTAAGCCGCATCCGCATTGTCCCTCTCACAAACCCCCTTGTTTTCAGTTTGCCTGTTTTTACATGTAAATGCAATTTTCAGTAGGTTGGACGCGCTGCACTCAAATCCCAGCGAGAAAAAAAAACCCCCACACACATTCAAATCAACGACATTCGCATATGTTTGCATAGAGCTGCGAGGCTGAGAGGGGGCCTCCACTCGTAAAGTGCCACATTTCTTGCTTACTTTTTAACGCCATGCACAAGCACAATTTGTTGTGTTAGCCAAATGGAAATGTCAGGCGGCTAATTAAGAAGTGCACAAAAAAAAGCGCAATACAAAAAACCCAATTACATTTAATTTTCTCACAAAACATGTGATCAACATTGAAGTGAAAAAAACTTTGATTTAAATTTATTTGATCAATTTTTTTTAACACGTAATTGGCGCCCATTTTTTTTTTTAATCAAATAAAAGGAGGCATTAAATTCAGTTTCCACTTCTGGGTGTGAATTTTGAAAAACAGTTGAATTTTAAAATAAACCCAAAGCCATTTCCACCATGGCTTTGGTTCAGTATTGTCCATTTTGTAGCTTTTGAAATAGATTTTAAAAAATCAAATGAAATAATTGCACTTTTTAGTCAGCTAACAAAAGAAAAGCAAATCAAATGTTTTATGCATTAACTTTGCACCTATTTTTCAGCCTAGTCCGCGTTTCGCTTAGACGAGTCCTGACTTATTCCGATAGGCTATTCGCTATGCTCATCCTCCAAATTTTGCCTGGTATAGATTTAAACTTTTTACTCTTGTTTTTCTTAAAAAAATCATTTTGACAAACTGAACGAAAATTTCTTGCCCATATTTTGTATACTCCAAAATGGAATTCTTTTATATATCTCATTTCTTTTTTATTGGCATTTCGACTAAAAAGCATCTAAAAATGGGTTTCTTCACAGAATTCAACTTGCAAGTCTAAAAAGCAGACTTAAATTAAATATAATATTAAACTAGAAAACTCAAAGCCAGGCTTCAAATATTTTATAAAAAATTTAGCTGGAAGTGCAAGCGCATTTGAAAAATCCGCTCCCGACGGTCGAAAGTAGCTGCTGCCTTTGTTGCCCCTTTGCTGCCGCCATTCTAAACGGCATTTCGCCATTTGGCCGGATTTTGATTTTACTTTTGCCAAGATTTCATGTGATTTCAATTTGACTCGTACTATGTGCTTTTGCCAACGGACTGGCACTTAATGGACTTTGCAGCGGGCGTAAAGTGGATTTGGTCATTTTCAAAAAAGAGAGAGAGGGAGAGAGAGAGAAAGAGAGAGCTGGCGCGAAAGCGGGATAGAGAAAGAGAAGAAGAGTGAGATAGACAAATGCGAATGGTACGCGCTGGCGTATACGACAATACACGACAATTTATATTCGTTTGCAGGCAGTTCGACTCGTTTTGGGATTTCAAAAAGGCTTTTCAATTAGCTCATCTTTTTTTCCCCCGAAACCAGACGAGCTCTGTTTACTGCTCTGCCTTTCGCTCACTTAACCAGCAGCTCTACCCAATGTAGGCAATTTATTTGGCAGCTTTATTTAAAAGTAAAGCTAAACCAGGCAAACGCACATAATCGGAGCTAGTTTTAATGAGCGAAAGGCGTATGGTTTAAAGTTGCAGCAGCGGGAACAATAACAAAAACAAACACAACAACAACAGCAGCAGCAACAGCAGCAGCGGCAACAATAACAGCGTAAACCTTAAGCTAATTAGTCGCTTCGGGCCAGCTAATTACACAGTTGTCGTTTTGTGTGGCGGCTTGACGCACAACACGTATACGCCGCGTTGGCCATAAAACCGCTAAACCGCAAAATAGGCGCAATAAATAAACGCAAACGAATGTCCTGGCACAGCAGGAGCTGCCACACACACCCGCACACTCAAACACAGCTTTTGGCGTTTATGAAGTGAAAATTTCAAGAAACTGACAACAAGTTCGTTTACTAGCGGCCATTTTCCTATGTTGCGTGTCGCTGTTGTTGTTGTTGCTGCTGCATTAAAGTACCGTCAAGACAAAAACAAACTAAATAATTATCTAACATTATTTACAGTCAACGCTTTTTGTGCGCCCCCTCCCCTGTTTTCTCGCTGTGCCGCACTCCTCCCGCAAACCTGCTCGTGTTATGTCCTCTGTAATCGCAGAATCGCTGAACTGTATTTTGGCATAAAATTTCAAGTGGACCCGGGTCCGAGCATAAAAGAAACAACCAAAGAGAAAAGCTGCTCTAAAAAAAATGGGGAAAAAAAAGTAAAACATAGCTGGGCTCGCCCTGATGAGCTTTTGTAACACAGCGCAACTGACCCGACCTGGTCATGAAGTTTTGGCTGCCAGCAAAAAATAACAGGCGAATAGCAAAAAAAAAAAAAAAAAAAAAAAAAAAGAAAGGAAAGCCACCGTTTTATGTGTGTGCAGTGTAGCTAAGTGTAAACAAAGAAGCCCAAAGAACAGGACACGCTTTGTTGTTTTACAAGTGTACTAGTTTTCCACTTTCTTTCTTTCTTTTTCATTTGTTCTTGTCATACTTATTGTTGTTGCAATTATTGTTTATTTTTCGGATATAGTCACTTGTGTGTGTACATTTCTGCATATTTCACCTGACATTGGCCTCAATGAAATGCTAACTGAAACAGAAAAATGAAAAGGGAAAAAAACCTGCGAGTTTTGGCATCATTTAACATAAATAGAAAACATTCAAAAATTCTTGGAAGTAGCAAAATTGAATTCTCGGTAATGGCCAGGGCGAGCCTGCAAAAATTAAACGAAAATAAACAACGTATACCTACGGTACGCCAAATTTAAATACCCTTTCAGATATACTGTACCATTCAGATAAACTATACATTTGATACAATCTCACCTATTTTTTAAGTGAAAGTTCGTATTCGCTCAAATACCTTGAGAAGCAAAAAGTATTTAAAAAAAAAAAAACAAATTATATTTTTAACTACCTTATAATTTCTGAGAGTAGGCATCAAGAAATGGCACAAGATTGTAAGCCTTTAAGATTTTTACACTTGCCCAAGTTTTTGTTGTTTTCTGTTACGAATAAGCATAGAGAAGTTCTTGCCTTAGCATTAATATTTCAATGCAGGCACTCGTGACTTAAGCATCCTTGTTAAGTTATATTCTCGTTATAATTTAGCATTGATTACCCTTCAGCCAATCCATTAACCAGTTCCATGCACATTTTTCCCCTAGCTCTGAAAGGACTGCTGCACGCAGAGCTGTAAGTATTTTCGCGTGCCTGTCGCGCTGTCTGCTTTTGTCTTAACCCCAGTGGGGCAAAAATGTGAAATAAATACCGAAAAGGTGAGAGTCGGCTGGCGGCGATGCTTTAACAACAACTCCATTTACGTTTAATGAGGCTAATTAAATCTAAAGACAAATGTTATTCTTCGGTGTTTGCACCATGACAGGAGGCCAATTGAAAAGGAACAAGAGGAGAAAGCGATTCAAAATTGAATAGTCAAATGTGCCATACTAGAAAATACCCTGTTCCCTAGTTGGTCTACTGACCTGTCGGGACATATAATTATGTATAGACAAAAATGCACTTTAATTTTTTTGAATAAGCTTGTTATTTGATGTTAACTTTTCTATTAGCAATGAGTACGCGGTATAATTAAAATTTGAATGCCAAAGACAGATACAATGCATAATTGTAATGAATGTAAAGAATATAATAGAATATTCCTGTTTCTAATTGTATTCTGCAGATAATAACTGTAATGATAAGTAGCATTCGCAGCGCTGATGGCCGCTTGATTTTTAAGTGCTAAAAAGTTTAAACTCTTGGCTATTATTAATTAACTTTTGGCCAAGTTTTGGCTTGGCTCTTTCTTGTAGACCAGCTGCCAGTTATTGCAGCCCAACTAATGAATCCGCTTAACCAAAAATGAGAAAGTCGCCAAAGCAGCAGCTGGAGATGAGCGAGATGCTTGCTGCCTGCTGCCTGCTACTCATTTGAGGGCCAAGAGCTGAGTTTTAATTATTTTTACTTGACTGTCATGTTTGCTGAGCCCCGGACTACCCAAGTTAATATTGCTGTCAACTGAAGCACAAATGATAAAATGCACTTGCAACTCGACTTCTTCACGCGCCACCCTTGGTCCTATTCAATGCAGTTTGTTGTTTACACTGAAAGGCAAAAACAGAACATGTTGCTGGAGCATTCGAGGAGCATAAAACTTATTAATAACTTTATGCTACTTAAACATACTGAACTAAAGCCAAAAAGCGGCAAATGGAAGCAACATAACAAGTTTTTCTGCATTCGAAATGCTCTTGTTTTTCATCTGGTAATCCGCTTAACTCGCAGCACCAGAGCAGAGGCCGGCCCTAACAAATGTAGAGCATCCAATGTCGCCAGCCACGGACTACATGACAATTGTCGCATGTGTGTGGCTACTTTACTGCCCTCTCCCTCTCTCTCTTTCTCGCTCTCTCTATACTTTTCGGTTGCGCAAAAGTTTAGCCTCTCAATTATCAGGCACTTCGCGTTGTGCCACCAAAAATTGTTCATTATCTCTATTCTGGTGAGCAGCAAAGTATCTAGATACAGTCTTTAGAACATATTAAAACTTTTAATTTATTTAACCAGTAAATTTAAGTATTAATGGGCAAAAGATTTTGCTTTTACAAAACTGCTAACTAGTCGAAAAGAGTCGCGCGTGCTTCAAAGTTTAGTTTAATTTTGCAAGTTTTTTATCTTCGCAAAGAAAAAGGCACATTTATTACATATCTAACAAATATATTTTCAATATACTCAAGGATATTATTTTCTGAATTTATATTAAAATCTCGAGAACCCTGGCGGCACAGGGAAATGGACA